GGAAAAGTTGTTTGCCATACCTGAATACGAGTGAATCATATATTCGCAGGAACTTTATCTCCTTAAACTAAAACACACGAATTTCAACAGCAATATCACGCTCAGTCCAACATCACAGGATTCAAAACCGCGCACACACACACACACACACACACACTATAGCGCTCCTGGTTTCTCAACGTTCCGAAAGCGCTCACGTTTAGGATCAGGTGTGGGAAAACCTTGTACCGCTGTTACTTAGACTTAAAGAGTGCGGGCATCCTTCTCAACGCTTGGTGCTTAAGAGCGTAAAAACGTATTCCAGACCGGCTGGTAAGAGCGCGCGTGTGCGTGTGTGTGAGTGTGTTTACGTTTTTGTGTGAGTGTGCTTGTGTGTGTATTCGTGTGCGTGTGGTGTGCCTGTAGGCGCGCGCGCACGTGCGTGTGTGTATGTGTGTGTGTGTGTGTGTGTGTGTGTGTGTGTGTGCGTGTGTGTGTGTCCATGTGCTTGTGTGTGTCCATGTGTTTGTGTGTGTATACGCATGTCTGCCCCCGAAAAAAAAGTAAAAAATTACAGTCCCTTACAAGGCGCCTTGTATTCAGGCCTGTCCCCACAGATGACCTCCTTGTAAGGACGGCACGCGCGGACTGAGAGCGAGAAGAGCTGTGGGTATGGACACTCGAGCGTCAGAGGCTCCTCCAAGTCCCAGCGGCGATCGAGCGGCGAGAGTGAGCAGTTATAGAACCAGTGGCAGGCGTGTGGGTGGGGCAGGAGTAGTTCCCCCTTCAGGAACGTGCACGGGTGGCTGGGAAACAGCTCTGTGGACCACGGGTCGAAAAGAGGAAAGAACGTACCATAAGACACATCATGGTCACATCCACTGTTATGGGAGATTTGGGTTTAAAGACTGGGCATTCTGTATTCAAGACATATAGAGCCTTTAAAATCATTATCATGACAATCATCTCTCTGTCTCTTTTTCTCCCCCCCCCCCCCCCCCCGTCTCTCTCTCTCTCTCTCTCTCTCTCTCTCTCTCTCTCTCTCTAATATACTAGCTCGGCCCCCTTTTGATGACAGGAATGATCGGTGCATTAACATCAGCTAAAAGTCACTGGCCTACTATATTTACAATCTATTGGAATGGAGGAATAAATCTTGAGAAGAGCAAAAGATAAGAAAGTCTAGATCTATACTCTCAAAACAAAATGCACTTCGCGAAATATCACTTTCAGCACTTCCGTTGTGAAGGACAGCTTCGCAGTTTGTTTCGTTTCTCTTTTGAATAATCACAAAGGCCAAAGAAGGACGGGAACTTTCTTGCCAAATATATTTTTCTAAATTCAGGAAATGTACAAACAAAAAAATCGGGCTCCTGTCATGGCGACCTGTCTATCTTTTTGTAGGTACTTGCCAACTTTCAACTCTGTAGCTGTCGAAGTTTTATGGGAAAAGTGACACATGTGATTCCAAGTTGCCAAATATATAATAGATATAAATATATAATCCTCACCATCTTCTCGCTATTCTTACCCTCTATTAGATTGAGATCCATCTCAGATAAAACATGTGTTGTCCTGACTTTTGGTGTCAGGCCATGATAAACTGAGTTCCTGTTCTTGTGTCTGCGAGAACCCATCACACCATGGCGCTGGGAACTTCCTGGTTGCAGTGGCGGGCAGTCGTTGAGCGGGGAGTCTATTCGCACGCACCTCACAGCAACTACTGACCACACGTGACCGCGAGGACATGGGGGCATGGTCAGGGATTGGCCGGCGACACACAGCATGTGGCGTGAGCAGTTGTAGGGGTCACGTGTCTGGGGAAGGGAATCGGGAAGTTTGTTCTTAGCAATACACGATAAGTTTCCTTTAGGGGATTGCTTTTGTTTTTAAAAACAATAGACGTTCTCAGAAGATGTCAGTATCGCTCTATGTCATAGTTACCTACAGTATATTTAATTTGTTAGTAGAAGAAAGCTTTTCAAATAGGTGCAGTGACAGAACCTTGGTCAAAGCAGGCACTTCCTCATAACTCACTTATTCTGTCCATACACATACAAACATACATACACACTCACGCACACACACACACACATGCGAGCATACACACACGTACACACACCCACACACATAAACACACACACACACACACACACACGCACGCGCGCATGTAGGCGCTCGCCTGTAGGCACGCTCACGCGTGTGCACACTTTACCCACACTGTACACAAACTCGGATGAACAACGACTTAAACGTTCATTCCCTCACACGGGGTACCCATTACAAATGAAAATGGGATCGGGTCGGGTCGGGTCGGGTCGGGTCGGGGGGGATCGCCCTACTCGTCGCCTGAAAACTTTCGTGTCTGTTTTTGAGGCGACGAGTCGGTCACATTCGGCTTGTGCCACAATATCCGCTTTGCTCCCTCAATCAGGCTGGCAAACCGCTCCGACCAGACCCGACCCCACAATGAGCACCCCGTATAAGACACAACGAAGTAAAAACACCAATCACTTCACCATTAATGATAAATAATAATGTATTTATAGAAGCAACCGATAACTAAGTCCAGGTGCTGTTTTCGCCTAATACATGTATACCCACGCCTTCGCGAACACACTTAATATACTGTTATTTGCTAAAACGTCTAAGAGGCATTGTTTTGAGTCCGATTCTGAGTGGGGTATAAGTTGTGGCTTTTTGTGCTATTTTTCTTTTTCCTTTCTTTTTTTTTGTCTACTCTGGAAAATATTTCACCCGAGCCTGGTTTTCCGTCTTACACTTAGAATCAAGTGCTTCGCCACCAAAACGTTGCGATTTGACAGGATATTAATGAGTAACTTGAATTTGCGCTCTATTTTCATTAAGTTTGACGGCGGCATTTTTTGTTGTATTGCTAGGCCATTTAACATCGAGCAAGTTCAGCATAAAACTTAACCTAACCACTATATCTCCGTTTGTCCGTATCTAGTAAGATGGGAAACTTCCATTAAAAATGGAAAAGCAAAACAAAACAAACAAAAAAAGATTCAAGAAAACCTCTCACCCAGTTGATTCCAGCGATGTGAGCACACGGGTGTCTCTCAGGCGCCATGTTCAGTAGCAAGAAATGTAACTGCGCGGCTCCAGTCAGAGTGAGCACCACGATGAGACAGACCACGCAACGCTCCCGTGCACGCGACATCCTGGAACACTTTGAGGAGGAGGAGGAGAAGAACGCCAGGGCGGGGTCGTGACCTCTAACTTTGGATTGATGACCCTCACAGAACAAGCTCCGACCTTTGATCGATGACCTTCACAGGACAGCTTCTCGGGAATTCTTGGAAACAATATTTGAACTTGAACAGGGTAGCGGAATTGTGGAGGCAAAGCTTGGTATCTGAGAAAGTAACTCAGTGGAGACGAAAGTAGAATGGAGTTTATGATTAGTCGGCACAGAGGGGTCGGAAGTTTGACTGGTAGAGTAAATAGGTGTAATAGTATAGTATATTGAAAAAAAACCCTCTAACATGTACTTCTTCCCTCGCCTGTTCTTAGACAAACAAGACGAGACCAGAACGGTCTTGAGTCATAATTATATAACTTGTCACTTTGGAATGCGATCAGCCTAGATTTTTAAACACAAGACTTTTTTTTATAGATGTAAAAAACAGTTTAACCTGCTCTTTACAAACAAAAACAGCTCAAAGATCTACCAGAAAGCCCAAGGCAGATTATTTCCCAGATATCACCATAACGGAAGCAAAGTTACAAGTACCCTCCCCGCCTCCCCCACCCCCTCCCTTCTCTCTCTCTCTCTCTCTCTCTCTCTCTCTCTCTCTCTCTCTCTCTCTCTCTCTCTCTCTCTCTCACACACACACACACACACACACACACACACACACACACACACACACACACACACACACACACACACACTTCCTTTGTCCTCACGACATTTTTGAGCGAGAGAGTAACAATAAATGTGTTCACTGTTCACTAGCTAGCAGGAAATATAACCACTTACTATGATGGGAGTGTAAAAACACACAGGAAACAAATTGCCCTATATTTAGTTTGGAGTGCCCTTGCCTTATCTCTTCCGAGTTTTTAGAAAGTCTTCTATTCTTCAACCTCAGGATAACGTGCTAGGTCTTTGAAATATATACAAATGTCCTGTAGGGCATTCGAATTATATCTAACGCTAATGAAAGGAGAAGATCAAGTATCAAACTATCATTATTGTTCTATACGTCTTGGGTTTTTTTTTCGGTAAGGGTTCCCAAGCTTTAATTTTGCTGCGCCATTTCTAGGGCCCTATTATTCTTTTATTAAAACGAATTTCACGTTCTTTGATCGTTAAGTAACACTGCTCGAAAACGACAAAGGCCAAAATCATGAAAATTTCCAAAGAAGCACGTTGCTACCGCCTTGAGTTCACAATCCAGGGCGAGCATTTTTAGTTTATAACGGTCCTCTTCTCACTGCTATCTGAAACTGTTCCTTGAATAGATCACGTAAAAATAAGCGAAAAATGTGGCCGGCGTTGTTTAATTGGTAGGCCTAAGGTTATGATTATCAAACGCGCCGAGGCCCATGTTTTTCAAGACTACTTGTAACTGAATTGAGCCTAGGGAGTGGAGAACTATGAAAACTAATAACTCTGGTCTGTATATACGCTGTGTTGGGGGTATGAACAAATATTGCCAGTTCTGTAGGCCAGAAATATTCATTCAGTCAACAACCTCGGTGAAGACTAATAATTTATTATGAGTCACGAAGGAATACTTTTCAGCAAAGGCAGGGAGCAGGAACAGCAAGGTTAAAAGGAGAACGAATGAGTAATAACTGATAATCTTCCTGCTTTGAAAACCAATCTTTTAATCTTTTATACCGTGGTCTCTTTCTTCTTACACAGACGATATTTTTAGCCTTGAACACCTAAACTTCAACTGTTAGGCACCTCGAAAGAGCTGTCGGAGGGGGATGGGGTGGGGGGGGGGGGGTTATCAATTAGCATTTGTTTGCACAATAATAGATACGCCCTTAATTTTAAAAAAAATTCAAGTAAAAAAAAGAAGAGTAAAGCCACGGTGTGTTGAATGGATTGTCCTCCGTTTCAGTATAGGTGGTGAAACCATATCGGACAGAGTTATGATTTTGCCAGTATTTTGAAGAATACAAATTATTTGTACACTGGAGTCAACTAGCAGTTCTGTACGCTTATCGCAATAATTGAATGACAACAGAACATCAGTAGGAGTATTTCAATCGTTTATGGATACAGTTATTTTCCGAACTGAACTGTGATTATCAGAAAACGAAAGGAAAATAAAGCTATGACAGGTTGAGAAGAAAAAAACAACCCAACAACAAAAACCGAGATGAATTTCCAAACACTTGCCCAAATCCAAACTAGTCTTTAAGGAAGATCATCTCATTGTTTTTCTTTTACTTACGACTGTCTGTTCTGCTCCAAGCTAAGTGCGGCACAAGTCGTTACTTCTGCGTCTGGTATAGGATTATCCTACATGCAGGTCCAGCAGGGACATCAGGTCAACGACAGGCACCAGCTCCGACGATTGTCCAAAGGTTCATGGAGTCTGTTATAACGAAACTTTTACCACAACCTGAGTACAGCTGCTATTTTGTTTTTTATAAAAAGTGTGAGAAAAATATCTTTAAGTTTCGCAATACACATTCAACAGTTTTGAAACCATGGGATGAATTCCTGATTTTAAATTAAAACCCTTTTGTGATCACCAAAAAACCCCAACAATAAACTATCATCGAACCCTTTTCAATGGATAAATTATGTATAATTCCTAGAAGTCATTGTTTTATGTCAAATGATATTAAAATGATATTTTTGAATTAATAAAAGATTGTCTTTCCCTACGAGATGGTCAGCACTTGTCTCTGAGGTCTAAGCAAGGCGGTCCTTACTTCACGCTGCTTGTATGTAGTCGAAAGTCTCTGATCTCTTCGAAAAATAAAGAAAACTGAAATTTCCAAGACCAGAGGAAGAAAAGTTATCCTGTAGAGGCTGTTCGCAAATTATGTTATCCTTTCTGTTAGGGCATTGGCTGCACGCAGTCCTTAACAACAGCAACTGTTCACAACTCCGCATCTGCATGACTTAAAAACTTCTCTGAATACCTGTCAACTCCCCAACCGCAAGCCCTTCCCTCCCCTTCTACTTCATTGTATTGCTTTTTCGCCCCAGAAAATTCCAGAGACACGATGAGGGAAAACTCTGACGACCTTCGCGGAGCGTTCAATGTGCAAAACAGAGATATCTGCAGGGAAAAACTGTTGAGTAAAAATTGTCATCTGTATCCGTGCGTTGGGCGGAGGTAGGAAAGAAAGAGTGTGCGCGTTTAGGCGCGCGCGTGCGTGTGTGTGTAAGTGTGTGTATGTGTGTGTGTGTGTGTGTGTGTGTGTGTGTGTGTGTGTGTGTGTGTGTGTGAGAGAGAGAGAGAGAGAGAGAGAGAGAGAGAGAGAAAGAGAGAGAGAGAGAGAGAGAGAGAGAGAGAGAGAGAGAGAGGGGGGGGGGATGAATGAGCTATCTGATGTTTCTAGCCATAAATTAGAGGTCATGAAGTTCCGAAAGAAGCGGAACCACCGTCTTTATTAATGATACTATACCTCGCACCTATATCAAGTCAGTGTGCGATACTCCTATAGAAGTCATTTTGGGGGCTGTATTTAATTTGCAAAGTTAAACACCTGCCTCCGATAGGCTATAAATAAGACAGACTGGAGAATGTTTAAGTTACAACGTCCACAGCCATCCTAACCATCCTAGATATATCTGTCCTTA